AACCCAATTTGTTCCTCTTATTTTTCTTTCAAGCTTCAGCTCAAGCATTACTTCTAGAAAATAGCTCTTTTATCCATCTGAGAGGTGGAAGAGACATAGCCCTTCTTTTTTTTCTCTAAAACCTCAAATTTACAATATTCATTCAGCTACCACTATGCTATGTTTATTTTTCCATTTGCCAAACTTCAATATCAGTATTTGTTAAATTATGTGCCTTTTTTATTAGATTCAAAATACCTTTAGGGAAAAGTCTTCATCTTTGTATTACCAGTCTTAGAACAGGGATGAAACATAGTAGGCTCTCAATTGATGCCTATTGAAAACACAGAATGAAGCGTCCACACTAGAATATAAGCAACATAAGATGCATAAAAATATGTATTATACAAATGATTTTATGCATTTATATTAATTTGCCTATTATACATTTATATGAAAACCAGAGACAGTATAGTTAATAACTTTATAATTTTCGGGGCGCCTGGGTGGCGCAGTCGGTTAAGCGTCTGACTTCAGCCAGGTCACGATCTCCCGGTCCGTGAGTTCGAGCCCCGCGTCAGGTTCTGGGCTGATGGCTCTGAGCCTGGAGCCTGTTTCGGATTCTGTGTCTCCCTCTCTCTCTGCCCCTCCTCTGTTCATGCTCTGTCTCTCTCTGTCCCAAAAATAAATAAACGTTGAAAAAAAAATTAAAAAAAATTTTCTAAAGTTCTTATTATAAATACAGATTTCTGAGTCCTAAGAACCAAAATTTGTATTTCTTAGGTCTGTGGAACACAGAAATCTGTATTTTGGCTAACTCCCAAGTTAAAATAAATCCTTATAAAATACTGCAAGAAAAAGTGGGTTAATTTTTTTTAATAGGCTGGTTGACATGAAGCAAAGTCTCATCTTTGTTTTCATAATGAGCAGAGTTGAATTATGGAATTCTAAATCCCTGAATCTTGGTTTCCTCACATGCCAACTTAGCTGTCTCCCAATATTTTAAGATGGCACGTGTAATACTTTTTCTTCTAAAAACAGAGTTGTTTAATACTTTTAGCAGTCATAGTTGCTTCATGATCTAAGCATTAAATATGCTTAAATGAAATGCACCTTCTTGAATTAAATCTCTGTTAGCAGAATTTGCTGAAGGACAATCAAAGGTTTGCATAATACATGAATTTCTCTATCATATATGCTATATACTTAATTTTATTAATAGGTTTCAGTAATCAGAAGATAAGCTATGGAGCTAAAGTCTCTATGAAACTGATAATATATGAAATATATGGCATACTTCTTCAGACATATTTACTAAAATATTTATATCTGATCCATCTTCCTAAATCCAGTTATCATACAATTAGTGGAGTGAGATAATATAAGCAAGAATTGTGTATATATATATATATATATATACACACACATATATATATATATATATACACACACATCTTTTTTTTTTTTTTTTTACTATGTAGCCTTCTCTTCTCAGGGGCATATATGACTTGCAAAGAAGTTTGTATTTCTGTATGGACACTCACACACACACACAAATAGTCACATACAACTTCTTGTCTTAAGTGCCATATGGTCTCTTTTTAAATCTTTTGTCTCCCAGATTGTATAGACTTTTACTATTGATTTGGCTTATCTAACTCATTTTCAGAAATGAAATGAGTTTTCTGATTAACTTGACTCATTCTTAAATGTATAGATTAAATGCCCCTTAATGTGTCTGCTCACATCTGGTATTCCAGATGTTTGCTATAATAATCATATAAAAATCGACACAGCATTTCCAGGGCCATGAAAAACACTAAAGAATGAATAAAGGCAGAATTGTATCTCTTCCGGCATATGATTCCCTAGAAATTGGGTATTCTGTACTGCACACCCAAATCAATTCAAAACCCCCAAACCTAAACAGTTCTAACTCAGACTTCAACAAACTAGAGTCCTAAATAGCATGAGGTAAATTTCCCATTCAAAGATTCTTATCAGTAAGAAATCTTAACATAATAATACCCTTAAAGGAAGCATCTTTAAATATTTTCTTTATAATGATGATTTTTTAAAAATCCAGAACTGGTGCTTGACAGGGTATGGTGTTATCTGGGCCAGACAGACATGACCAGGAGGATAGACATCCCCATAGAACTGGATTTTAAGAGAAGATTCAAGTTACATGTATTAAGAGAGAGGGTGACGACACATAGGTGTCACCTCAGCGGTGGTTGCTCTCCGACAATAGATTGCAACACTGATGCATTGGGCAACACGAATGTTTCTGGGTAAGTAGCAGTTAGATGTTTTAGGATGTGAATGTGGCACAAGGATTTATAGTGCATCCTTGTATTGCAGGAAATTTCTGAGGCACAGAAATTTATCTTCAACTTACCTGAATTAAGAACTGAGATTCCCAACATGAATGCTAGCAAGAATTTCTGAGTTCATGGCTCTACACTGTGCAACTTCAATAAGAACTACTAGGTATTTTTATATATTTACTCTTCATTCAATAATGGTCCTTTGTACAAAGCCAAACTAAAGAGTATACAGGTAAGTTGAAAATTTTTAATATAAGTACACTCTGACATACTGAAATGATGGGTATAAATAATCAAGACAAAATTAATAACGCAGATTTCAATTGTAATTAAAACAAATTCGGGGGAAGTACAGAATGGTAAGGCAAAATCTAACAAAAATATCTGGAAATATTTTCATGTCTATATGAGCATAATATCATTTGATGTCTCAAATTCTAATACAATGAATAACCAATTAAAAGAACTATGGCTTTTAGATCAAGTGAAGCAATATTCCACATTGTTTTACATACCTAGTGTTTAATTCTGGACATCTTTGTTACAAAGAACATTGGCAATTATTATATGTTGAAGAGAGCAATCAGTTTAATTCAGTTTATCACACATCAGCACGTTGATAATTTGCAAAACACTTTGCTAGATGTTATAGAGGGTCTAGAAAGCATTATAGGAAATTCAACCTGTAGAAGTGCGACTATACTTACCCAGAAAAAAGAAGATTTTGTATGAAGTGGAGTCAGGTTTGAAGGAATATATTACATTTCCTTTGAATGTATAAAGGACCTAGTGCCCAGGGCAATGACACTCATTAAAAGTAACTTCATAAAAAAGAAACTGAATGGAGTATCTTATGAGGTAGTAATTTTCCTATTAATCTACATGTTCAAATAGAAGACTGGTGATAATATTTAGGTACCTTAAAGCAAAGATGGGTTGCATGTTATGTTTGGTGGAAAACTGAAATTCAAAATTTTGTTTCTTCCCAGCTCTTATGGCATGTGCAGAAACAGAACCTAGGTATTCTGTCTTTTATTCTTTCAATATACTCTGACTTATATGGGTGATACTTACCAGCCTGACTCATCTCCTTCAGCAAGTAGATAATGCATGAGAGCCACTTCATATCAAAAAAAAAAAAAATGTATATAGGCTGTGAAATGTTGCTCTAAGTATAATGTTTCTTGGAGAATAGCAATACAATGGCTTACCTTTTCCAGAAGGATGGAAAATGATATATCTAATGTGAAGGACCATAAGGAATTTGGAAAAGAGGATGTTATTTGAAACCTAACTAAAACAAACATTATTTTATTTACCATTGTGAAAACAATGGTTATGGCGATACTGTTTCTGATGTCTTTAGACATCATAATTAGATTGTACCTATATTTTCTTCTTTTACTTATATTGTACTATAAACATTATTTCTTTTTTTGTTCCTACTGTGCTGGGAGGACAATTTGGGATGAGAATTTAATAAAATGTGTCCTATTTGCTTCTCTATCGGCTTTGAGAACAATGTAGGATATAAAAACATGAGCAACTTATGATATACTTGTTTCATTTTGAATAATATGAAGGCTTAATAGGTGCTTGATAAGATTCTGAATATATCATATAAATTTTCTCATTTAAGGAAGTTTCAATTACATAATAGGATAGCACTTTAATCAATATTGAAAGAAAAGCTCATTTTCACCTAATGAACATACCAAGCTCATTGGCCATCATTTACACTCCTAGCAATGTGCAAGGTAATATAGTGTCTCAAAATAAATTTAAGAATGTTCTTGACACAAGTAATTTAATATTTTCCCAAGAGATGGAGGTTATATCCACAAAAATCATGTTAGCCTTAAGGTATCCTTGAAAGTGACCAAGGTAAAGCAATCTTTCACTAACTTTCATATAATTACAAAAGACAGGTTTTTTTAAACAAATATCTGGATGATAAAAATCATTTTGAATGTGAAGCATTTCAACTGTGCTTGAACACTGCATATTCCTTATATACTAGTTTCTCTACGTTAGTAGATGTTTTATATGACAGTTTAGCTGACCTATGATGTCTTTGCCAAGGAAAGATGCCCTGGTAACTATTTTGTTATAGTACAGAGATGTGAAAATGGCTGCAAAAGAATTCCAAGCAGTTCAGACCCAAGGATATTGGTAACAAAACACTGAAAACATGCTCATGTAGCAGAAGCAGTTTCAAAGTTCTTTGTCCTTGCCCATTATCCAGCACTTAGAGTATAATCAGTTTTATAAATGGAAATGATGTACTATAGGTGGCATACTGCTATATGAGAGAGTTCTCAAGGAGTTTTTCTTTACTTCTAAACTAATTCCACATAAGTCAAGGGCTTGAGTCACTGATTATAAAGTGGAAAACTATAGAAATCCTAGCTTAAAGAAAATAAAGATGATCAATTTGTAGTTGGTGTAAGTCTTTGTATATGTAATATTTAAAATCATCCTCAAAAAGTATTTTAGAAAATGAAGACTAAAGTTGGCTAATCTATTTTGCTCTAGAATTCATTCTAAAATGGGTAAAAAACATGAAAAAAGAAATAAACTGTTGGGAATCAGCTAAATTGTATCTCAGTGAAGACAGTTTTCATTAGCAATTTTGAATGCTGACCACATATGTATTTTGGGAAATAATTCACACTGAGTAAACATATGTCCTCAAGTCGCATTGTGTATTTTTTCATTCTTTCTATGAGTGGTTAGTTACACATAAAAAATTGACATACACAAACTTTATTAGTAAGAGAATTATAGCATTTTGTCCAACAACATGACTTAAGTGAAGCAGGTCAGAAAAGAAAACAGAAATATACTAATGATTTACATGTAGTAGAAAGAATGCTCAATCTTGGTCAAATTTTTAACTATTCAAGTAGGTTAAATATTTTGGATATTATTACCTTTGTCTGTAAAGTATAGAAAATAATATGTACACTACATAACTCAATGTCATTGCATGTTAAAAAAATGATTATAAAATGAAGTTGTTAGAAACTGTAGGAAATATAACTAAGTGATTAATCAATGAACAGAGAGAGGTTGAAAAGGTTAATCTACTTGAAGTTTGTAAATGTGCAGGTATCTTAGTTCTATTTGAAGAGTATGTGCTTCTTACAGGAGTCAGGTTCTGAAGGAGCAAGATCCCACTCTCAGCAGCCTTGGATAGTGAGGGGTGAGCAAGCAATCTCAGTTTATTGACTCATAATCTCTTTCTTAAGACTTTGAATCTAGAACAAGAGGCCCCTGGAAAAGTATAGATTGCAATTTGTTTTCCCAGCCCCTGTGTCTGGCAGTGGTGGCGGGAACATTGAATGTTGCAGGAAAAGAGGCAGGGATGGGAGAGTGAGGGCAGATACGTCAGAGATGTAGGTTCTCTGTGATGTTCTTGGGATGTGGGCCTATCTCTGGTTCCCACAACCTGGTGTCCCCTGGCTTTAGCTCATCTTCTGATCAAGTTCTCCAATCTCCTGGTGGTTTCCAAGACCTAACATTCTTCCAAAATGCATTATTTACTGCATGAGAGAGTCAGAGATGATTTTTGCTGCTTGCAATAAAAAACCCGATTACCATGCAGTGAATTCATCAAAAGTGTGTGTTGATACATAGCATGGCTGTAGTAATTTGATTGGTGCTCTCTTTTGAGGATTTAAAATACGATTATTGATTTCATGAGTTCTTCTTCATTCCTAGAAAATACTCCTTTCTTTTTTTTGAAGTTTTTATTTAAATTCCAATTAGCTAAAATAATAATAATAAATTCCAGTTAGTTAACATACAGTGTAATCTTAGTTTCAGGTATACAATATAGTGATTTGACACTTCCATACAATACCCTGTTCTCATCACAAGTGCACTTCTTAATCCCCATCATCTATTTACCCCACCCCCCCACTTCTCCCCCCACCCATCAATTTGGTCTCTATAGTTGAGTCTGTTTCTTGGTTTGTTTGTTTTATTTCTTAAATTCCACATATGGAAAATACTCTTTTCTTTCTAGCTCTCTGATCTTATATTTATTTATTTTTAAAGTTTATTTATTTTTTTAAATGTTTATCTATGTTTGAGAGAGAGGGCAAGCAGGGGAGGGGCAGAGAAAGACGGGGAAAGAGGATCTGAAGTGGGCTGTGTGCCGACAGCAAGACAGCTGGGTGTGGGTCTCGAACTCACAAACCTTGAGATCATGACTTGAGCCGAAGTCAGATGCTCAACCACTGACCCACCCAGGCACTCCTAAAGTTTATTTATTTACTTTAAGAGAGGGAGTACATTCACGAGTGGGACAGAGGCAGAAAGAGAGGAATAGAGAGAATCCCAAGCAGGCTCCACTCAGTGTGGAGCCCAACACGAGGCTCGACCTCACAACAGTCAGATCGTGACCTCAGCCGATATCAAGTGTTGGATGCTTAACTGACTGAGCCACCAGGCATCCCACTCTGATCTTTTAGATATCCTAATATAATAATACTGTACTGTGGTGGTCTGAGATCTCTTCTATGATGACTTACCTGAAATTGCCATATTCAAGACATTCCATATTTCCTTTTATAGCCCAAATCACTATCAGAACTTATATTATGGTAATTACTATCCTAAAAAGAGCTAGCTAGAAGTGGTATACACCAAAATAAGAGGGTTGATGTATTAGTAGTAATGTGTATTTTAGTGTCTACAGTTGTTCTACTTTTCACTGCAATACAGTGCTTCTACCCTTCACTTGTGTAATGGAATTGATGGTATATTTCTGAGGACTGATTTATTTGGCCCAGTTTATATGAATTGATTCATTTTGGAACATTTTACAGAATGGTTGGTATCAAAATAATGCTGTATACAGAGCACATAAACACATTATTGAATGAAGAATGAACTGAAAGATCATAAGTTCTCAAAGATGATGCTCACAGCAAGAGGATTAAATTGCATAAAAATCAAGTCACTACTCTGAAATACATGGTGTAATAAAAGCTTGAAAGAAAAATGTGAGATGAACTCAATTTCTCAGCCATTGCCATGAGTGTAGATGCGCATCCTGCTGTTATGTGAACAATTACAATGCCTGGAGGGAACTGAATGAATGCTGGCACCTATTGGTAGACAGAATAAAAACCCAAGCTTGTTCTCCTATCACGAGGCTCACATGCCATATGCTACAAGCTAATACATTAAGTTGGCATAATGAGGAAGATAACATTTTGCCATTGCTTGCTTACACTGCTAAAACTGGAACACCATTACATAAGTTGCCTGTAATTCACTGCATTTCCTTTGTCATGCAATTCTTAGAAATTTGGAGGAACACAAGTCATGTAGAAAATATACCAGTCGATTCACTTGGTTAAGTACGTAAGGTACTTCGAACTTTGGCCTACATATTATTCTTGCCATTTTCTTGGAATCTTCCAAGCTACATGCTGTACATTGACCACTGATATATATATTGATATATATATTCCCTATGTATCTTTTTTTATATAAAGTAGAAGAATGCATAGAAAATGTGCAGAAATGATACGGAGAACCTTATTTTCACTTAGTGGATTATTCTTATAAATATAAGTTAATCATATAATCTCAACATCAATGTTAACTTTATGGCTATATTCTCAGTATAAGAGAGGTGTAAAATGTCTGGAGGTAGTTTAAGTTTTGAAGCAAGGGGTCAGTGAATGCTTGACTACTGACTGACAATTGATACATAAAATGCTTGAAACTTAGAAGTTTGTGTAACCAAATATCATTATGTCTGACAAATCAAAATGAGGATATATGGAGGGAAAATGAACATTTACCTCAAATAAAGAGGAAACAAATTTAGTCCTTCTTTCCAATTATTTCTGACAGAAACTACATGGATATCTCTGAACAAATAAACAAAAAGGGTAGGGTGGGATGAAGCTACCAAGAGTGAAACAGAATAATGTGCATGTGATTATTATATCCCTAGAGCTCTCATCAAATCAGCCAGTCAACAAAATGTTTTGCATTTGACCATGCACTGTGGGATATTCAAGAAAGTATAAGACACATTTTTTTTTCTTCGTAAGAAGTTTAAATTTCAAATAGGGTGCCAACACACACAGAGTTAAAATAGTAAAAATAAAACCTTAATAGAGAAAAATGATATGTAACATAAACGGAATACACCAAACTAGTGTGAAATTTCCAAAAAGTTGGAAGGCTTAGTGCCGAAGATTGGAGTTTATTGTCTCATGAAGGGTGTGGAGGATATGGATAAGTAAGAAAGGGTATTAGAGAATGCCATGGAAAGGCAGGCCAGAATGAGCAAACCCATTCCAGTATCAAGGAGCATGCTTTGTCTTCAAGAGAAAGGAGTCGTACTGCTCAATGAAATGTCACAGGATAATTTGACATATATTTGGTTAGGAAGGAGCAGATAGCTCATGGAAAATAATGAAAAAGAGCAGATATTTGGACTTGATCTGCTGGCTAATAAGGAAATACTGAAGAAAACACAATTTCATTCAAAACCAATACATATTAATGTAATTCCCAGCTACTCCCCGGCCAATGTTCAGGATGTTATCTAGCTAAAATAATTTCCCCTGCATAAAGCAGTTTCAGAGGAAGGAGAGGACTCCAGGAGTTCTATCATCTAGGATAGCCTAACTATTATTAATGTTGTTTAATGGTTAGGTATTCTAGGTGCATCAGCTAGTATCAGTGTGTGGTTTCTTCATCTTTAAAATGTTTTCTGCCTTGCTTAAAAGGTTATTTTTAGACATCAAAAAAGTGAAAAATAAAATATGGTATTTCTGGGTAAGATGAAGCTGTACATTGACACTTTTAAACTTTGATTTCTCTGAAACCCTACCTCCTACACCAAAATGTGTAGCAACAGTAGAAAAATCCATGAAGAGAGATTTTTAAAAGCCCAACAAAATAAGCTTTCCCAAGTATCAGATACAGAATATAAATGTAAAGCAATGAGTAGAAGTAAAGTCACATACTTCTTGGGTTTGGGATATCAGTGTAAGCTGGGAAAGCCTAAATTTCAGTCTACGTAATAAAAATGGAAACTGCACCATATAAGATGGGGGGAAGGGAGATGCAGAGATAGGCTCACCTCTTAAAACCAGAGCTGAGGAGGATGTCTAGTGATAGTGAAAGGAGCTAAAATAAGTTAATGCCAAATAGGGCCTACAAGTTTGTTTTATCAGAAATGATGAATCTGACAAGTAGATGGACAAAAACCCAACTTAAGACCAGAAACTAAAACAGTCCACCTCTGGAATGGCATTTGAATTTACTATATCCCCAGTGTCATTATAGGATAGGAGCTCCAAGCTGACATTTTAAGAATGGGCTCAGTGACAGCTCAGAGCCTGGAGCATGCTTCAGATTCTGTCTCCCTCTCTCTCTGTCCCTCCCCTGCTTGCATTCTGTCTCTCTTTCTCTCTCTCTCTCTCAAAAATAAAATTAAAACACTTTAATTTTTTTTTTTAAATTAAGAATGGGCTCAGGATTATGGGCCTCCTAGGTTAATTGGAGGCATTTATTTTTTTTTTTAATTTTTTTTCAACGTTTTTATTTATTTTTGGGACAGAGAGAGACAGAGCATGAACGGGGGAGGGGCAGAGAAAAAGGGAGACACAGCGTCGGAAACAGGCTCCAGGCCCCGAGCCATCAGCCCAGAGCCTGACGCGGGGCTCGAACTCACAGACCGTGAGATCGTGACCTGGCTGAAGTCGGACGCTTAACCGACTGCGCCACCCAGGCGCCCCATTCTTTTTTTTTTTTTTTTTTAATTTTTTTTCAACGTTTTTATTTATTTTTGGGACAGAGAGAGACAGAGCATGAACGGGGGAGGGGCAGAGAAAGAGGGAGACACAGCGTCGGAAACAAATTGGAGGCATTTAAATACAGTATTCAAGATGGCTTATTCTAAAGAGATAAAGATAGGGAAAGAATTACTGCTGTAATCACTGTCACATACATACCACACAAGATGAACCTGAAAAATCAAAATGTTAACAAACACGAAAAATGAAAAGCTAGCAAATTAAATGAATTTACACTACATTAAATAAAAATAATATGATAATATGTAAAAACTTTTACATTCTCATATTTAGTATCATTCAAGAGCTAAATGAGAGAATAAGATTCAATAATTTATTTCTGCAAAAACAGTGCAGAAATGAGATAATATCTGACAACTGTAAAAAAGCCCATTGGGAATATTTGAAAAAAATATGAATATTGTAAACAAAAACTCAGGATAAATTCCAGAATGCCTAGAGTTGTGGTCCACTATGCTAATTGGACCTGAAGGTTGAGACAAGTATTTTGAATGCTTTGGAAGGATGCAGATATGCCAAGAGATGAGAGATTAAGCCTTCAAAAATTTGGAAGTTGCCATATCAGTGAAGGGTTTCAGTAATCATTGGTCTGCCAGTGATATCCTTGCAAGGATATCCTTGTAAGTCAGTGGTTCTTAAACTTGATTGTTCATTAATATCATCCTCAAAACTTCTGATTAGTTGGTCTGAGTTGGAGCTCAAGAATTTATATTTCCAAAGACATCCCTGGTAATGCAAAGTCAGGTCATCTGCAGCCGGAAGCAAAACACTATTTAAGAAGCAGACTTTGTAATCTATTGGGCACCAGCTGAGGTTAGGTGCCTGACCATGTGACATCAATGAATGTTTATTATCACACACAGAGACTCATAATGTCAGGTGCGTACAGAAGCAATTCATCACTTGGTGGAAATGATATACTTAGGATAGAGTCCTTGAAGTTCCAGAGGACATAAGTAAGGCACATAAATAGGAAGCCCAAACTCTCATGTTCTCTACCTCTGTCTCGCTGCTACCTCTCCTTCAATTTTACACCTATAGTCTCCTAGAGGGATCCCTAAGGGTCACTGACAAAGGTGGATACTAATTCAGCTGTAATTTACAGGTAAGAGGAAAATTGACTACTTCCAAGCCACAATCCCTTTTCAGGGCTGGCCCTGAAGACAGTGAGTAGGAAGAAATATTCGCCCAGTGGGAAGAACGGTACACTGTGCACACTGGACATTTTGGGGGGAAATGGCCTTCAGTACCAATGTACGCTAACTCCCAGGCAGGCATGGATGGCCTACCATTTTGCTCAAGATAATTGAAGGACAAAGTTGGGAAAATTAGAGTCAAGGGAAAGTGACAATGAGTTGGACAGGATATTTCTAATCTCTGTCTACCAGTCTCTCTCTTCATAACCTCCTATGCTTGCACAGTGGGTCCAAGAAGAGATTGCACATGGTAGCAGGGTTATAAACTATATACGAGTTCAAGGACATATGTTCATTATCACCACCTATAAACCTGCCAGCAGAAGAAAACAACTCTGAGCCCTTTATCTTAGCACCATTCCTCAAAGAGACTTCTGGTGCCAGGTTGAATATATTGGAGTCTTTCTACCCTGGAATGTGCAGCAATTCATTCTTACTGGAATTGACACCTACCTCAGATAGAAGTTTGTCTTCTTTGTCTGCTGCAGGGCCTCTGAGAACATTATCATCTTAGGACTAAAAGAAACTCTGACTTATTGGCATGGGATCCTGCACTGCATTGCCTTATACCAAGATGTCAATTTCATGGCACAAGAGGTTGAACAATGAGCTCCTAGTCATAGAAGCCACTGCTTCCACAATATGTTATGTCACAAAGACATAACTTGACTAATAGAATAATGGAATGGACATTAAAGTCAGCACTATGAAATAGCTCAGATTAATATATCTTATGAATCTGAGTTGCAATTTCCCAGTATTTTCTTTGAACCACCAGCTTACATATGGTGATAGGTCCTCAGAAGCTTGAATGCTTGGGTCTAGGAACAATGAGTGGGAGTAGGATTGGCCCCTCTAAACATTACTCCAAAAGAACTACTTGAGAAACAAAAGGGCAAGAATAATGAAGATTTTTGAAGATTTTGAAGAACAAATTTGGGAAGACTCACTCTACCACGTATCAAGGCAGTGTATCATCAGTATAGATTGACAAAATAGAATGGCATTTTTGGCAACATGGGAAATGACAGATTTGACTTTACAAAGCAGTAAAGAATAAACTTTCTACATAGTAGAACTAGGATGATTGGTCATTCACATGGAATATATAAATTTGGATTCTTCACTCCCATCATATGACAAAAATCCCCACTCCAAGCAGACTGAAATTTAAGTCAGAAAAGCAAAATGTTCAAATTTTAAAAGAAAATATAACTTTTTCAGATTTCATACACAAGCAATATAATACAGTATTAGTCTTTGTCTGACTTACTTCACTTAGAAATTAACTTATTCATTCAAAATTTTTTAAAGAGAAGATATGACCACAGGATAGGGAAAGGTATCTTAAAGAAGAAACAAAGAGCACAAAATGCACAGGAAAATAATTATAAATGTGACCACAATTAATTTACTCTTCATCTAGATAGAGATATCAAAAACAAAGTGACAAGAAAAGCTGTAATATGAAAGAAATACTTATAAGCATATATAAAAAAATTGCTTGTTGTTAGGAACAATTCACACAGAAGGAAATCTGAATGAGCAGTGAACACAAACAAACCTAACACCACTAGTGTCCACAGAAATGAAAATTAAAACACAATTAGATGTCATCCTCATTATTATTATATGGGAAAGAACTTCCAAATACTTGACAATGCCAAGAAATATAAAACATGTGGAAAAATAAAATTAGGAATTGTCTCATACTCCTAATGGAAGTGTAAAATAACAGCAGCATTTGAAAGTAATTTGGCAATATCTAGAAAAGTTTAAGAGGCACTGTATCATTTAGCATGATGTTCACATATAAGTAACTGTAAACCAGATTACAGTGGTTTGATCAAGCAAAGGGTTTGTCTCAGACATTAAAATAAAAATTATCTGGACAGACATCCAGGGCTGGAGCAGAGGCTAACAATGCCCTCAAGGAACCAGACCTATTTTGTCACTCTGCTTTCCTTAATGTGTGGCTGCTGCAGCTCCAGAATCGCCACAGTCCCAGGCAAGAGAAAGTTTAGAGATGACTCAATTGAGTCATCACTGCTAATTTATGCTTATATTGCAATGGCCAGAACTATCTCATAACTTAGCTACCTCTAGCTGCAAAAGACAGGGGATCCAGAATACTTTGTTTTTCAAACTCTAAAGTAAATTTTTCAAACTCTAAAGTAAAGGTAGCCAAATGTAATACACACACACACACACACACACACACACACACACACACACACAATGTAGGATACAGGAGATATACATTTAGAGAGAGGATATCCTAGTGTGTTGCTACTCAATGTGTTCTGTTCTGTTCTCCATGAACAAGCAGCAGAGACATCACTTAGGCATTTGTTAGAAACTTATCATCTCAGGCTCCATCCCAGATCTATTGAATCAGTATGTGCATTTTAACAGGAGTCCCAGGTGGATCCACATGCAAATTAACACTTGAGAAGCACCACTCTAGAGAAAGCCTTGGACGTGTAACTGTATACTGCGTCTTCCAGGGGAAAGTGGAAATAAGTTAAATGGCCATCCATAACAGAACATTGGACATATTCGGAATTCAGAAGATTGCAACAAATATCGAACATAAATGTATTTATTCAATAGAATCATTTACAGGGCAGTTGAAATGAATAACTAGATGGATTGGTATTAATCTGGACAAATACCAAAAGTATAATATTGACTTTAAAAGACAGGATACAAAACTAAATCAATGGCATGATACAATTTGTGTATCTTTTTAAAGTGCAAAGCAATATTTCATATGGATGCATACATACTTACTGAAAATATTTTAAAATGCATGGATGAAATTTGCTTTGCAACTTCACTTCTTACACTTTGCAAGAAAATGTGATTGAAAAAGGGTACAAAGTGGGTCCAATTGAGTCTGTTGTATTTTATTTCTTAAAAAACCTGAAGCAACTCTGGCAAAATGTTAAGAAACGTATGTATATGTTTGCACTGGTGTCTGCAGAATTATTCTCTAAACTTTTTTATATATTTAAAATATTTCATAAAGTGTTTTTAAGGATAAAATGAATCCAGATAATTTTTTGAAAGGATAGTAATGGTGTAACTCTTTTCACACTGGCAATTTGTTCTGAAATGATTTAGCAATAGCTGGGTAAAATGAATACATTATTTATGAAGATTAAGTAAGTAAGCATTAGAGCAACATTTGTAACTGATTTTTATGATAGTGAGTCCAGAATATTTCAGTGAATTTGCAGCTCTTTCCCGGTAATAACACAGTTAGGGAACTCAAGAATATATCTAAATACATGCACACATATTTATAACAAGCATGCTTCGAAACTTCTAAAGATGAATAGAAAAAATGTAGTGAAGCTGAATATTATGCCTGTTTTTGAAAGGAATCTGAATACTCTTAGAACCTATATGCCATTCTTCCAGCCTCTTGTAGTCTCCTCTCCACCGAGTGCTTTGACTTTGACAGTGATGTTTATTATACGCTTGCTGCTGTTCAAAACAGTATATCTGTTTTGTATATTGAAAAATTTACATCCTGGTTCTTGTCATTAGGTTTCCTTCATTTTTAGTACACAACTTTCTCTGTGTTTTTAGTGTTTAACGTTAACACTAGAAATAGCATATTGTTTCACACTGTAGAAAACAATTGCTTAGCATATAACACTCCCAGATAGAAATAAGCCTTGTTAGTAAAAGGATTGTTCACCTAGTTTCTGCCATATACACCACTTTCACGTTTGTTAGCCATGAGACAAGTAAAATAACAGGAACATTTAGTGACATGCCATGAAGACATGAAGACACATGATTGAAAGTGGCACAAGCAGAGTTTGAAGTAATCCCATGCGATTTCCACACTCTTCTCTTTGAACCTTTCTCTATCTGCACAATATACTGCAATTAAAGCTCAGAGACTTGTAGCTTCCTATTAAAATATGAGATTTTTAGTTTATTCTCACATTGGCCTCATGTACTTACCATTCCTTGTCTTCTCCCCATAATAGATGTCAAGATAGTTTATCAGAAGAAGCTGATCCGTGGCTCCTTGGTCATCTTCACCTGCATACACAAGTGCCTGAAGCTGGAGCATCCAGAGAGTAATTAGACAGAGAAATCTGGCAAACTTTTACACTGGTGAACCAAGAAGGAAAAAGCTAAATTGTCATTAGTTGCACATAATATATTTCTATTCCTGGTAAATGCAAAAGGACCACTTAAAAACTAATAAGCCTAATGAGTATTCAGTAAAATAGTCAGATACAAGGAAACATACCAAAATAATAGCTTTCTCAAATGCCAACAATAATCAGTTAGGAACTCAAGCGCGCACACACACACACACACACACCACATACACACAATTTAAAGGAGAAAAAAACTCCTACTGGGTACTTAGGAATGAACTTCAGAAATTAGAGAAAGGTGCAACTGAACAAAATAACAAATAGTAAAGAAGTATTAATTTTAAAGTATTAATAAAAGGTACCATATTCCTGGAATAGAAGAATCAATAATACAAATATATCAGCTATCCCAAAATAAACATGATATTTCAAAGTAATCTCCTTCCAAACTGTAATAAGAAGTATATATACAAGTGCTGACATGGAAATACACTCCATGCATATTATTAGTTGAGAAAAAGCAAGATGTAGAATAATATCTGATCCTGTATCAGTCAACTGAAGTTGTATATACATAGAATACATAGAATCTGCATGCATTTTTTCTTCCTTTCTCTGTGTGTGCATTTACACAGGAATGGAATAATCCACACCAAACTCTTAATATTGGTGATTGCTGAGAAACAGGAGTCAGAAAACTTTTTATATATTATGTTCTTCTGTTTTTCGTGAAATTTGTATGATGATCATACTATATTTGAAAAAAGAGAATAAATCAACAAAGAAGCCCAAAGAAAATATGTCATATTGGGGGACACAAAATAATCATTTCTAGGAACCTCTGGTTACTTACAAATCTGTTTCAAGAAAGGCAGTAAGGTATGCTGAAATGACTCCCTCAATGATGTCATCATCTGGGTCCCTGAAACCTGTGAATAGATTACCTGATATAGTAAAAGGGACATGCAAGTGTGATTAATTTTAGGATTTGGAGATTGGGGGGGGGGTATTCTTAATTATCCAGATGGGCCCAGTGTAATCACAAGGGTCCATACAAGAAGGAGGCAGAGGAAGATTTGGCTACAGAGAGAAGGGGACGTGGAGACAGAAGCAGACATTAGGTGAGGCAGCCACGAGCCAGAGAATGTCAGCAACCTCTAAAAACTGGCAGAACCAAGGACGGGATTTCTCCTTAAGGCGCCAGCAGGAATAAGCACTGTCAATATCTTGATTTTAGCCCTATGAGAATGATTTTGAATTTCTAGCCTCAAGAACTGAAAGGGAATATATTTGTATTGTTTTAAGCCACTGAGCATGTGGTAATTTGCTACAGCAGCGATAAGAAAAGGATGGGAGAGGGGCGCCTGGGTGGCGCAGTCGGTTAAGCGTCCGACTTCAGCCAGGTCACGATCTCGCGGTCCGTGGGTTCGAGCCCCGCGTCGGGCTCTGGGCTGATGGCTCAGA